AAATCGGAAGCAATTTCATTTTCCAAAGACACGTACACGAGTTCGTCCTTAAAGCAGACGGTCGCTGCAGCTCGCGTTCGCGACGTGCACAAAATTTGAGTGCGAAAGCGTGTCCTGTTCGTGAGAGGCGCCAAATAAGAACAGGGACTTCGCCAGAATCCATGATTCTCTTTCCGGGTTGAAAAACTTCGACCTCATTCACTGCGCGATCTCAATGATTAACGCGAAAACGGTGGCGGGCGGGTTCCGTAACGCGATCCAAACGACAACAATCGGCTTCGAAAATGCAACGTTTCCAAAGTTAACAATTAATTCGATTGTCTTGAAAGTTTATTATCTCTGCCGTCATTCGGTAGTGCAGAGCAGAACTGATAATCGAAGCAAGGTGTTGAAATATAAACACAAATTGGAAAAGTTCCCGCCAAGAAACAAGAGGGAAGAAGTATCTCGCACAAAGCACACGGGGAAGATCGAATCGGGTTAACTCAATTACCGTCTGCTTTAGGATAATAATGAGAAGATAATTCACAAGAGCAGTTATTATTGAAGCGCTCCAAAATGCCGGTGTCAAAGTTCATCGGAAGTGTCGAGTTGAAGACAGTTTCGAGTTTGAGTTCCGCGACTAGTGCGAGACCCTTTACTGCCTTTCTGCACACGAAACAGGGGTAGTTTCTCCGCTTTGAGACAAGAGAACGGCGAAACTAATTTTACAATACTGATTCCATGCGAACATCCGTCAAGTGTTACAGGGACATCATCCGTGGAATTACGCATCAACCGTAATGATGAATGTGAATGCGTTGCAACCGTACTTTGTGGGCCGTCACGGATCACATCCGAAATTCGCTTAGCGAAGCAGTGGCAAATAAATTTAGAAATATCGATATAAATATATCGTGTCCGTTATTTTCATAACGGAATGTATCTTAACGGATATAATGCATCGCCCGCCTATGTATTTCAAATAATTATGATAACATCACGAGGGTTTCGTGAGCTCGACAGAATCATGACGCGAGGCTTCTCACGAAATGTATCCGGTGGAAATTTATTAAAATTGAAATGACATTTGGATACCTTTCACGTCCGAACAACAATGCTACGTCAAAGCGGAGGCATTAAACAAATATAATTAATTTGCTGCGACATATATCGCGGCACTCGGCGCAAATACCGAGCGTGGAGTATCATAAATGTCAGGTATATATCGTTGTCGAAACAAGTGCATCCATCCTCGCGTGTCTGGCTCGCCATTGAAGTGTAAATGCCGCAAAACGAATTACCTCGCGTCCGTCTCCACGGATAGCGGAACAAAAGCCTTCATCATTTGTCGGAAAAACGCGTTTAAAACGCCAACGCGGCGCAAAAATTTTGGGAAATCGAGACGAGCCGAGTCGACATTTCCAAGTCAAATCACCCGTTAAACAGTCATTCTTGTTCATTCTTGCCGGCGAAATCCAGACGCGTCGCCGTATCCCGGCTAGATGCGGAATGCACGCGCGATCAAAGCGCATCGGCGCAAGGGTAATCGGGCGATATGCCGCCCGCACGTTAATGCAGGTCAAATATTGACGATTTCGTATATCCGCCGGGACGATTTAAAGGATCGCCGATGCGATACTAGCGGGACGAAAATTCGTATGGCTGTTGCGCGCGCGACCGAATTGGCACGTCGCCATCGGGCAACGGCATATTCGACGCCGATCGCTCACGCTGCCGAGCCTGTTAATAAGATCCGAAATTGTGTACGTATATCGGTATCCCCTTCCGAGTTCGCCCCCCCAGCTTCTGACAATTTATCGCAATTGTCGCAGAATGACATGGATGGAAATGTGTCGCGCGCATTTCGCGATGCGCAATATAGGAATTGTGACAATTGCATTTAGGCATTCTGGGGGCACACGAGAGCGCGCGTGCACGCGCAAACACAAACGAAATTGATATTAATTTATTCAGAAACTGGCTATGATTGTGTAAATTTGCGATATCAATTTCAATTTATAACTTACAATTAATGTTACTGCAATAACGTTATTATATTTTGCTAAACTTGTTGTTATAATATCATTACTATTATTGCATGTGTATTATCGTTATGTACTGGCGTAGAGATTGACACTGTCGCGATTTGTGTATTCTAATTTGTATACACAATTATTTAATCAAATAATTGTGAAATTTTAAGTGAGAACACTTAATATCTCAATTCCTACGATAATTAAGCCCTTCTGCACGGGCAAAGTTATTACACTGCGAAGTTTACCCTTTGAGAGTGTAGAACATTTTTCATACAAGTATTTCGCAGCCGTTAATTACTTCCTTTTCCAGTCTCTAAAATCGTCGTTTGACTTGGAAGTTTGGAAAATCCGAGTTATAACAAGTTCAAAAATCGCTCAATTAGATCCGCGAGCGGTGTGGGATCGTTCACTTCTAGATTCACCAACACGATTCTGTTCAAAGCGTTAAGAACTTTCAAAGGGGCCAAAGGACATTGAGCCGATGGAAAAGATGAGGAAAAAGAGGAAATACGCGGACTCACGGTGAAACTGAATGCCTGAAAAATGCGCATCTGCGATTCGATTATTCAATCAATTGGAAAATGAAAGCAAGCATCCTTTTTCAGAGTAATTATCAATGATACGCAAATCAGATCGAGGAATCGTTAAACACTCTTCTGCCCACGTTTAACACGAGAACCAGATGTTCTATGTAGGAAATTTTAAAAACTATAACATTTAAGAAGTGTACGCACAATTTATCTCGGGATTATTATTAATCTAACTTTCAGTTCACCTAAGAAATGGTAGTTTTTACTCTCAAAGTCTTTCATCTCTTCTACCATAATAATTAATAACAATGCACAAGTCAAAAAGTCACTCCGTTAGTTTCAAACTTGTAAGAAAGGAATATCATGATGCGAACGTATCAATAGTTTCGCTTTGATTGCTACGATCAAGCTCGCGTTAAGATTATTCTCGCGGTTTTAATTTTGTTCTGTTTTAATATAAACGCAAAGAGGAAAATTATTGTCATTAAATATTGTAAAAAAAATATAGCAAGAGTTTCACAATATCGTAATCAAACTGTTAAAAATGTTACACGTTTTCATTATGATTTCATAGTAGTTTTTTTTATGTATCTCCAGGGAAAATGAAATCGTCACGCGCGACGTGTCGCACAGATTCAAATGTCACCAGCAACCAGCTATTCTATTTCTGAATATTTTGGTTCATAGATACTGTCGGGGAATAAAGCCAATACTTAGCACACACGAGGTGCCGTGGGAAATTTCTAAGTGAAAAGTAATGTATTCACGCAAACATAACTTCGCCTAAACTAACTTTTCCATTTGGAGAGCCCTATCCAAGTTTCAGAAACTGCGACCGACGCGATCTTTTTCCCCGTGACCTCGACCGCCGTAACATTTTTTTCATTCGGACAAACGGCGGAAGTTCCATGAATAAAAACGACGTCATCGATTTAAAGTGCTTTAGTGTGTCCAGGCTCAGGAATAGGATTACCTACCGTGTTGTCTAGCACACCATACGGAATATCGCTCGCACACAACTGCTGTTTCATATAAGCGTGGTTTACACACCACGGATTATTAACAGCGCGAAATTTCCAAGTTTAGGACTCGCTTTGGATTGATATTACCAGCATCAACTTCGGAAACCATAGCGATTACATTAAACAAGTATTGCATTTTCTGACTGTTTAGAAAATTGATACTAACTGATAATAATACAGTCGTTCTCCAGCCTTTGTATACCGCGTACATACAATATTTTAACTTTGTGTCCGTTATTGTATCATTTTCTTTTTTACTTTTATCAAATAATTTCGTACCGTAGTGGCTGGATCATTTATTAAGATTTGCTTGAGAAGGACCTAAGGTCGAAACGTCGCATTATATATTTTTCTTATATTAAATATTTGATTCAACTATTGATTTAATCATTATGTCGCCCCATATAGCCAACGGCCTCGATTGTCTCACCTGACCTTGCCGAGTATTGAAAAAGATAAAAAATTACTATGGCGCTTCGAGAGGAAACAATAACTATCTTAACGTGGAAAGGAACTCCATGATGATATATCACGAATTTCAATATTACTAAATGTTCAATATTACTATACGTATACTAATTAAATATATTATTTCTAGGTATAAAACAAGGTATCCACTGTATAATATCGTTTCCGTTATAGCATTATATCTAATACCGTAATTGTGCCTTTGATTAAAATCCGTGAAATAGTAACTGTATAATCGCCATTCGTCACCCATTATTAGTTTCTCTCGTATCGAGCTATCCAATTATCTTCGTGAATAGCGCAGCTTCCCGATAGAGTGTAAACCGAAGGGATGATGAAACAACACACGCGGCATAATCGTATCAATACACCCGCACTCAGAACTCTTTTACACGGAGATTTATTGTCGATTTTGCGCTTATTAAATGCGGGTGACATTACACTCTACTCGCGATAAAACAATCGTAATATTATTTCTGCACATTTATCGAACGCTGAGAAATATACGAGTAATCCTCGTTGTCCCGAGAGGTTGTAATAAAACTAGCAAACGTATCACTATTGAGAGAATAAATATTTTAAATCGTACGGGCGTACGTGTTTAAAACGTGCTTGAAATTTAACAAAAACTTTACGAAAATAAAAACTGCAGACGTCAGCTCGCGCGTTTTAGCGCAGCTAATAATTTTCCAAGTAGGAAATAAGAAATCTTTAATACAAAAAAAATGAATTACTGCCGATTGCTATTATACTTCGCTCTGAGTTTGTTCAATTGCGACGAAGAGACGATCGAAGAGCGTTTTTTTATTAGCGTTTCCGTCGGTATTGCAGTTATATCGTGAAGAATTCGAGACGCACTCGTTCCGAAATAAGTTCGATTACGTTCGATTTCCATGACAGAGCTCTCTCGATGTCGTTCGGAAGTCTTCATTGGAAAGAAAAATTCTCTTGCGAATACTCACTCGTGCAAACGCCCTCGTCCATTTCCCGGCTGCGAGTTAGCAGATTCATGATTACGCATTGCAGACCGACGGCGCAGGTCCCCGAAAAACCGAAGAGGCCGCCGCAAGGCTCGCCTTCCACACGCGCGCATACTTTGCAACACCTGCAGACACATAAAACTCGGGTCAATCGTTTTATATATGTATACAGGGGGGGGGGAAGGGGATTATAGCTATACGGAACACGCTCGATACACAAATCAAGTCAGTTTACGCGCGACAGGCAACTTCGAGCTCATAAAATAACTCGAGAAAGTTATAATTAGACCGTCGCGTGTCACATACATTTTTGTGTGTGGCGATAAGATGTTTCACACGTTCATCTTGAGTGCTCGAAATGAGACGATATTACAAAAAAAAAGAAGACTTTTAATTAATTCTTGCCGACTTTGCATATACGCAAGCAGAAACGAGAAAAGTTAGTTTCCGCTCGATATAAACGAACGATATTATTAGCTCTCGTTGCTATTGTTGCTCGCGTATCGGAAATATATTCAGCTCTCGGAATGCTTGGCCTCAGAATCGCTGAGGCTCGGTCCAGCTCTTTTTTTTTTATCGGTGAGAAACGAATAACAGAAAATTGTTGCCAACGGAAAACGACGAGATAGAACGAAACGAACAAGCGGCAGTTACATGCGCATCGCAGCTAACCAGTTTCCTTCGACTCGAACGTACGGCCATTTGTTTTCTTATAAGAAATCCTGCGGGCGACAAAGGGATACGGACGTTTTAAAGATATAAAGCGCTCCTTATAACAGCTTTATATCTTTCTTAAACTCGCAAAACGGATACAATCTGTGTCTTCTTTTTAAAGCGGCTGGATGTTAGGATAATGGCCGTAAGCCCGATGAGTTTTAAAGTGATATAAGCCTATTGTTGTATTTGTTAGGAAATAAAAGTTTCAAGTAACAGTGTTGGTGGACAATTTCTGAACAATGATTAAATGTATGAAAACGAAATAGATCTTGAGTAAATTTTTTACAACAGTCTCAACATTTATCCTTAAAATCATGTAATCGTGGGACAACATTCGAAGAATTTTACGAGTTTTTTTTAATTTTACCATACATTTTACTAGTAATTAGGCGTCATCTGTTGGTTCAATCATGAATTTATTACTCTTGGAGTGAAATGTGTTTAGTGGGAAATTCATTGTTGAATCGTGTAAATGTTGCGACAAGAGATTTTTCAATTGAATTTGGATGTTGAAAGCCTACCATCTCATAATAGAAAATTTCCAAAAACGATTTCCAAAAACTCTCATCAAGTTCTTGAAAATGCCACGTTGTCCCACAATTACATAATTTTCGGGGTTAAGAGAAAATACTCTCCGTAAGGGAAAGGCGTGGAAAAGATGCGACCACTGATATTTGTAACTATCGGCAATTTTGTTACAAGATCGTGAGATTTACAATCCGACGTGTAAATCCTCGTGCAGGCGCGCGGTGACATTTGCATTTTTATTTTGAGGAAACTTGACTTGAATCGAGATGTAAGAAATTGAGAAGCTTCTGCGTATTATGCAAGTGCATATCACTTTCGCGCGCGGCACGCTCAGCAGCACGGAGCATAGTCTTACGAAGTTCCGAGGGAAAAAAGAATAGGAGGAATTTCAAGGCGCAGCCTGCGGCGCACCGCACGGAAAATAATCTCGCGGAAAATTGTCAACTGCAACCAGGAATTTTATTACGCCGTCCCAGCAGCGGCAGTGAGGACGAAGGGTGTCTTCTCCTCCTTCTTTCTATGCTCCTTGCCGCTTCCCGTGAAACAATCTACTTCTACTATATAGCTTTGAGTCCTGCACATTCTTATAAGACGCAAGACCGTAGCTCATAGGGAAGAAAGTAACGTAACGAAGACTGAAAGTTGATTTACGGTAAAATCCAATCATACACTGTCAACTTTAAATAATCAGCAAGGTTGTAATTGTATTAATCCCGTCATAGACGCATCTACACAATTATTACAAAATTATTGATGATAATTTTAGATTTTGGAAGCTATCTTTGTTTTTTTATCTCTACACATCTTTTGCTTTAAAAGTATTTTAAACAATGTCAGAAAATATGGCTTTGTTGTGTTTGTAAGCGTATCACAAATGTGTCTCCCATTATCTGTCGTAATTAATGTGTATCTATTTTTAGATAATAAATTGGAATAAACCTGAAAAATGATAATAAATCCTATACAGTTAGCGATGCTAACTGACATATTTGCATGCGGCAGAAAAAGTGTAAGTTATTCAGTTTGGTAATTGCTAATGCGCAGATCAGCTGTTACGGCCAACAATGGTCAAGTACACGCTAAACATTCTCCGATAGATTCCCAATACGCGGTTAAACGTGGGGTTTTGTTCCGTGTTCTGCGTAATCTTTCGAATACCATCATTATTTCATGGTGAAACTCGCAACCGCGTGTTTGCCAATTTTCACCAGACATGTGTTTCAAATCCAATCGCATTGGCGGGTAAGGAATGTGTTATAACTTTAGAATAGTCGCGCAAACAAATGCGGGCCTGCGAAACATCAGAATATGTGCAGTGGTGGACGGAATGGCTGCAACACTTTTTTTAAATGAGTTTAGGACAGCGCATTTAGATTCAGGGTTACGTTCCAAAACATTGATGGAAAATTTTACTCGACAAATAGATCGGGAACGCTCAAAATAGTTTCGGGATGGCTATCGAGTAAAATACACTGTAAAAAAAAGTATGTAAAATTACGTACATAATAAGTGTAGCGATTACACTATTAATAATGGAAATATATAAAATGTACTTTTACAAAAAAATTTTTGTTACTCTTTCTTGTGTAAATAATTGCTTATGATGAAAAATTACCAAAAACTGTAAAATTTACGCAATTAAAAGCAAGCAGTTTACTTGTTATATAAGTATGTAAATATACACCTTTAATAGACGGTCCCAATATTACCCACTGTGAGTGTAATTTTACACACTGAAAAAAATTTCTGGTTGAATATGGACGAATCAGATAATTCCTTTAGGATTTACCAGAATTCCTGTAATCCTACAGAAATTCTGGTAAATCCTAAAGGAATTCTGGTAAATCCTAAAGGAATTATCTGATTCGTCCATATTCAACCAGAAATTTTTTTCAGTGCATGTAATATTTTTGCAGTGTATTTCTTGGGGAAGAAGATTTTGGAACGCAACCCTCAATCTAAATGCACGTTCCTAAATTAATTTAAAAAAGTTGCAACCATTCTGTCCATCACTGTATATACGTCAGTCTTTTCAGCAATTAAAAGATTTGACATTATTTATCTGTCTGTCCAGTTGGAGAGATGAAAAATGAATACCTTCACTCGTGAATTTCAAGTCCAACCACGATAGCTGACAAAAGAAGACGGGGATTGTTCAAGTGTGACGAAAAATCATTAACCGCGTCTGCAACAACCGCGACGACAATACAGCTCTTCTAAAATAGAGCTTATAAAATAAATCCAAAAGGAATATCGTTACACTTGAAGAATATTATGTTATTCGATTTACTTAGAATCGAGAATCGGTTTTTCCTGTACGCTGGGAGAGTGAAAATTTCGCCAACAATATAATCTGTAACGCGACGTGACTCTTTTCAATATAAAACGATGAGATTGCGTTCGATGAGATTTACGAATACCTGATTCGCGATACCCGACCGTACGTTGAACCGAGCCGGTGCCGTAATCGAGACTACGGTACGAGCTTCAGATTCCAAACGGTCTAAGACCGGTGTTTAACGTTATACCGTTTGGACGTTTACGAGGAGGAGCGAGCGAAATTTCATCGAAATATTATGCATTACCCTCTATCGTACGCGTGGCAGTCGCGTCCGTCAAGTTACATATCGCAGTACCGAGACATATCGCGTGGAAACGAAGTAACGTTGCAGTGGTACGGGACGTATGGATGCTAGTAAAACAATAATAACCGACGCTGTCTTTAATAACATAACATGCCTCTTGGCCGCGTCGACGCGTCTCGTTGACGCTCGGGAAATTTGCATAAAACGATACCCTTGCCGCACGTATAGAATTGGACGCATAAAACTTTCCTCCTTTCGAACCGCGTCTACCTCGCCGTCATTGAGACCACTCGTATCGGCTATCTTTCGGTATCGCATCGAACGATCCGATGGCTGTCGTCGCCATCGTCGCAACGCTCTCTCTCTCCCGCCTGTCCCCCTAAATCGCCGAGACTCTCGTAAGAACTTGCGGAAATTCCACGGCGCAATAAACGTTAGGTACACCTATTGAATTCGCAAAGGTCCTTCGGGAAAGATGGTATAACTGTCCGAGACTACTCGGGAAAATTCTTTCTCCGCTTCCGTGCACGCGTGTCGCTCCCTTTGAAATTCAATTCCGCGGCCTTCTCGAATCAGCATATTGTACGTATCGACGCGCGCGACTGTATTATCCGTGCGCATGCTGAAATACCGGGGAGATACGCAGGGCAAAATAAGATGAGGGCACGGAGGGCGGTTGAGGAGAGCGGGATGCGTATGTGGATAAGCTCTTGAATAGCGCAAGAAAGATTTACCGAGATCACGTATGAATTTCGTCAAGAATCCACCTTTGCGATCCAAGTATCGTAAAGTATACCGGTAAAACGTCGTAAAGACGCCGAGGATTTACCAATGATATGAATATCCACCTATATTCTCTCTGGCGAGATTTCGCGTCTCTTACCCGAAGATTTAATCTAACGCATAAATCACGGCTCGATCTCAATCCGCAGTTTCTCGATCCGCGGCGCGATTCTTATTCGATTCTCGCGCGGGCATCAATCTTTGTCTCGCACTTGAAAAGCAATTACGCTGAAATTGTTCATCTTACGAGTAACTTTCTCGATCGTAAAGAGCCGGGTGAAAAAAAAAGGAGGGGAAGGAGGAGAAATCTCAATCTCAACCGCACATTTCTAACGCTTCGGGTAGCCGCGAGAAGAGCCGCCGCGGTCTGAAAAGCCGTCTTATCCGCCCTCTACTCGTGAATATAGAATAGATGAAAGGCTTTCTAATTGCGTATTGTGTAATGTACCTGGTCAAAGTGGCTGAAATGGCCGTGAGTCATCCAACTTGCCTCGCAAGCACGTATCTCATGGAGATATCTAATCAAGATTGACCTACATGGATATATCTTTGTACAGGGATATTATCTATGTATAAAGATATTACGATACGAATCCTTTTGCAGCGTGGAAGCTTCGGTACACACAAGTTAGCCGTTGAAAAGAATTTAATCTCTCCGAGTGTATATATATGGCGCACGTACGATTATCCATTGTCGTATACTACTCGTGACGAGGAGAAAAATCTAGTTCACACATACGCCGCTCTCGTAATATCCTCTAACGTTATTTCGCGCAGCAAACGAGTTAATCTTGCGAGCTATCGCGCTAGTCGCAGGCTGCTTTTTTTTCCCTCCTCTCGTCCTACATGTATAAATACTCGCTGGCCCACCTTACGCATTGACACGCGCATCAATCTGATTTTGCAATGTCGCAGGCTCACGTGTAGCCGCCGCATCGATCGTGCCTCGTACGCTCGCGCTCGCGCCAAGTGGAATTTATCTTGGTACTTTCCTCGCAAATATTTGTTAAAGGGGATGTAACCCGCGCAACCCGCTCTTAAACTAAAAAGGTGGTAATGCTCGCGAGATCGCCATGTGATTTGCAACACGCTTTATCACGCGACATGATTGTAGATCGCGCGCTGCTCCGTATTTTATACTTGCATTAAATAACGCGGCTCTTATTTCACTCATGTGACTGATGGCGGCGTCATTTCGCGGCGGACGCCGGCATAATTCACGGGACGAATTGTAAATTACACGGCAAAATAAAGCCTCAGCGTGCAATGATAATCATAATGGCGTAACGTTAATACAAGTAATTGCCTGAAACTCCGCGCAATTTTTCCAATCTCTCGCGCGGTAGGTACCTATTAACTTCATTAAACATTATTCTTAACGGTCCCCTCCCCCCCCCATTTACTAGCGCGCGAACCTGTTCTGCATCAGGTTGTTTGTACGGGCCATAAAACACAAGCGCACACCTAAAACTCAGGTGCACACCCCACCTCCGCGTTCGAATATATACGGCGTTGTAATACACCATATACGTACGTACGTGCAATGGCGTAACAATGCCCGCGCGCGCGCGCGCGTACCCGTGTGCGATGGGCGATGGGTGAAAATAGACCCAAGGGCATGGATCTCGCGTGTCGGCCGCAGGGATATCGAACACGTCGATGATAAACGCTATCGTGTAACATTTCGAGGCGCCGCGGCGTCCTTAGCGCCTTCCGAGGTGAGAGAAGGGAGCCCTCCCCGATGCGCGGCCGGTTTACCTTTACACGTAACACCGCCTCTCGCCGTTCCCCGCGAATGAGTCGCTAACGCGAAAACGAATTTCGCGTACGGGGAGACAAAGGTGGATGAACAACAAAGGACGGCGTTTTCTCGCTGCCCGAAGAAAAAAGAGCCGTGGGTAGCGGGGCCTTATTGTAGCGCGCGTTTTAATTGTTCGCTGTACTCGGAACTAATTACAACGCGCAGTAGAACACAATTGTTGCAACGAAACACAAAGAGTCCGACTGCGGAGAGTTTCAAATTGAAAATTATGCTTTTGCGCGGTATGGCATCTTTACAGTGGAGAAGACGTAATGGCAATTAGTATGCAAATATCGTACGTGATGCGTCGAGGGCTGCGACGCGCTCACATAATACAATCGGGTGTACATGTTTTTCCTTTCCGCACCCCCTTTCGATTATATCAGAGTTTATTAAAATACCCCCCCATGACCCACATTTCCCAGGCTCACTGTTTTTTCCCGCGGAATAGTTGGACCGCGTTCCGTATACAATCGCCTGATAGAAAAAAAAATGAAGTAAAAACAATAAACCTGCTGAGAGCAAAGTCTTGCTAGCCGAGGGGCTAGAAAACGCCGCGAACGGCCGGCGTGCCAACTCGTTGATATTCCGGTATCGAGGCAGAGCGCTCCGCTCTGGAGAGAGAGCGCGGAGATCTCTCGGCGGGGCAAAGGCGAGGGTAAACGTCGCCTACCTGCAGGGGTCCCAGGTGAGGCCTCCGGGACAGTCCTCGTCGGTGAGAACGTCGCACTCCAGCGGCGAGCACACACACGAGAGAGCCCTCGCCACCGCGAGCGACAGTACAACAATGCCGCCTAAGAGGAGCAACGGGGCCCTCATTTTGCTCTCGTCCCTCTCGATCTCGACGGCCGCCCCGTCGTCGATGCGCCCGCTGTCCCTCTCAGTCCTCCTGTATCTCGCCGACACCAATTACGAAGCGAACACGAGGGTGTCCATTGCGCTTAGTTCATCCCGAAACGTTTCACGCCACGACACGTTCGATCCTCGATTTGTCACACGCGCACGATAACGGCCTCTTTCTCTCTCTCGCTCTTCCTCTGCGTATGATAAAGAGTTGTTCATCAGGAGAGAAGAGCAGTCGCGAGATGTGGTGCCTGAATAATGTCCGGGGAGCGTAAAGAAAAATGCGTCGATCTACATTTTACCGCTCACAGTTCGCTGGAATATCCGCGCTCACCCATTTTATCGAACAAAATGACGCCCGGATGGAAGGAATAATGTGATATTTCGCATACGCGATATTACGTTATAATACCGACGCTATATATCTCGCCGAAAATCTCCGCTAATGATAAGGATTCAGGATGCCGGGAAGATCAATTGTTAACGAGCGATAGAAAAATAATGAGACGGGGAAAGTCCGGGGGCATCGGGAATTTTGCAGATTGCTCGACGGTGTCGTGCCAAGCGAGGGAAATTTATTCGGGATTGCACATCTCCCGTTTCAAAGACAGGCACTTCGCGATGCGTTATTTGAAAACTGATTCGGGGGAAAATAAAACGTCCGTATTACAAAATACACACATGCGCGCGCGCGTGCGTTCGCTTTAAAAGCGTAAAGTGAAGATTAAATAACCAAGTCTCCAGATTGTTAAAGCTCTGGACGTGCGGCTTCTGTCCTAGATACTGTAAAATCGGACACCAGATATTTTTTCCTTCGACAAGAACGCGGGCTAAATCTCGCACGATTGGAACTTGCGATGGAAATAGCCACCTCTATATTAATAAAGAATCGTTTCCAACCAGATGTATATTTGTAGCATTAATATGCAGTAAAAAATACACTACGTATTCGGACGAGATGTGGCAGTATCTTCATTATGCACGGTGCAACTTCGCTTCGGGAAATCAGATTACTCTTATTTCAGATGCACACAGCTCGGGCTAGATTTGACGACAGAAGTGGCGGAAACGAGTCCATCTGTGCCGATTTCTGGACAGAGAGTAGCTCGCTCGAGGACCGTTAAGCCCGTATCGCACGTGCCGTTGCCGATTACGGTTACGAGTTTAGGTATCGAGTCTTAACGGGGAGCGCGTACATCAGTCCTGAACAGGGAACGGTTTATCCGCGAATGCACACCGTGAAAGCACACTATGAAGTGGGACCCATCGAAAGGTTGTCGAGCACCGACAACCGAACTTGCGGCGTACTCAAATTACACGGGCACACGCACCCTGGCTCGTACAGGCGCGATTAACAGGCATCGCCGTGACATAAGTGCGAGGGTACCGACGCCCTCGGCCTAAATGTGCGTAAATGCGCGAAGGGAGAACGCGAGTCTCTCGACAAGGCCCGTCGATTACGAGGGAAAAAGGATCGCGACGTAAAATTATGCGCGAGCACGATGGAAATTCAAGATTGCCAAATGGCTGTAACGTGTGTCTCGCGTCTAACAATAAGAGACACGAGAAGATCTTCCTTTCCTTTTGATTAAAGGATTCAGGAGAGTGAATTAGTGACAAGCGCCAGAGGGGGATGGAGAATAAAGCTACGTCAAAAGAAATTCGTTGTCCCGCCAGGCACGGTAGAATTTCTTCGAGCACTTTCGAGAATCGAATCCGAGAGCGACGTCCGCTCGTTAATAGTCGCGCACGGAGCGGGCTCGCTGTCGAATCGCCGACACCTTAACACGCGCGCGCTACCGCACTTATAAAGGGACAGCGTGTGTATCACCTGTTACAGAATTGCATCATAGACCGAACGCTTGTGCGAGCGGCATATCGTCGCTCTTGCCCGACGAATCATTCGCCGGGGGCGGACTTGCGTGTGCCGAGTGCAGTATTCGCAGAGACGCGCGGCAAATGCGACGAGAGACGGCACAAGATCGGGGGACGTGATCGTGTCAATTGACGCGAGCGGTGTCAAGGGAAGGGAAAAGGGATGAAAGTGATCGCCGGCATCGGAGAGCGGAAGGGCTGTTCGATCGATCCGCGGAAACTTTCGCTCCCACGGCTCGCATAGTAATCGCGACCGCGATCCTCTGCCTCGTCACGCGCGTCGTCGCGCCGACATCGTGCACTTCGGTGTGTCGCCCGACGAGAGGAGAGAGCACTCGGCGGAGCTTGAGCTACGGTATGGGAATACGCGAAGCGTTCCGCGTTCAAGACGAACGTGCACTGGCCGCGGCAACGAAGAGCGTCTCCGAAGCGGCGCCCGGCGCCGCGACGCGCGACCCGCGTCGGCGCCCTGACACGCGACCACTGCCGCCTCTTACCCGCGGCTGCACTCACCCCCTCCCGTTCGCCAATTCGCGTATCCAGTTTATGATTTTTAATTGGCGGCGTTGTAAAGAGTTAATTAACGCAACGCTGCACGGGGATTTATTTCCCGTTACGCTATACCCCGATATCGCCGTTGTATTAACTCGCGGCGGTGCAACAATAGCGCCATAACTAATAGCAATCGCGAAATCAACAACCGTTTTATATCAATATTAATTGCTTTTTTTTTAACGATGCGTGCACGTTTATTGTCAAGAATCACGTGCGATAACAATTGCAATAATAGAGCGTCAAAATTGAAAATTGTAATCCACTAATATTTTTGTCCTACAATTCGTTGCAGTCATTTGTACAATTTGCGTATTTGTAACTTGAAATCCCGTCTACAAAGAACACTTTGGCAATGTCGAACAAAGAGGTGAGAATTTTATATAAACATTTACATTACAAATGCAATGGCATAAACAATGAAGTCATATATTATATTGTTAGCTGCTATTATTCAATAATAGAGCCTCAAAGTTGGAAAGTGCGATCTGTTATGTATCGAACGAAGGAGTAAAAATTGCATATAAACATTTAAATTATGGATGCAATGATGTAAATAATATCAATAATAGTCATATATTGTATCGTTTGCTACTATTATTAAATAATAGAGACTCAAAGTTGGAAAGTGCGGTCTACTATTATAAATTAAAAACTCAATCTAGCGGTATCGAACGAAGGAGTGAGACTTGCATATAAGCATTTCTATGATTTCGGGTGCAATGGTGTAAATAAGACAATAAGAACAAGACGGTCGCGCCTACAGCTGCTATTACGTAAACGTTACGCGCGAACCAGCGATCGTCGGCCAAGGGGGAGGAAGCAAAACACGACGTTCTCGCTGGTGAGGAACGTTTCCGCGTGTCGGCCGGCGCGGCACCGCCTCGCCGACAAGACCGGGCCGTCAACGCGTTCTTCCGGCCGAGTCGCGGGTCCTAAGTGTGATAAATGTCCGCGAGCGAGTTCCCGGTGGCAGCGACGTTCGCCCTCTTCACCCGGCGCTCTCGCCGGCGATTTTTCTCCGGCGCGTGTTATGTAACTCCCGGCCCTTAATGCCCGCCGGATGGCGAACGGCGCTATTGATCATCGGGACTCTCCTTTTCCAAAATAACCGCGCGGACCGTACCGGGGACGGAATTCCGAGCGTCGATTAGCGAGCGTCAAGTATACTCCGATCAATCGCTGTTTAATTGACGAGTTTCTTCCGCGCGCCCGAGTCTAATATCCGGCTTCGTTGAGTCTTCCAGCCGAGGGAAAACTAATTTCGAGACGGTCGGAGTGTTTATCGTTAAAATATAATGTCAAGAAGCGCTGCGCGATTATTAATCTTGCCGGCGAATCGCGGAAAAGAAGCGAATCCCTTAATTAATTTCAAACATTTTGTCAGCGTGAAAAGGTATCGATAACTTGGTTGCTTCGCGTGTCTCGGCTGATATTCCAACAGTGACCTCTTGGCTTATCTAACGACGCGATATAATACATAACCGAGGGTGCAGCGTATTTGTAAAGGAAAAAAAAAATACGTTGCCCGCTCAGTCACTTGAGTGTGATGTTATTCCGCGAGGTAATGCAAGACGGAATTCTCAAGCAGGCAAGAATAATCGCTCCTACGAAGTTTCGTGTTGCCCGAAATGATATATACAGCGTGTTTCTCCCCGGCCGGGGTCCCACCCCCGCGTATCTTGAAGAATATTAATGGCGGAGGAAGCGCGCCGCGCCGGAGAAAGAGCGTTCCATCAAGATAAAGGCTAATTCGCTCGTAATATCCTTCAAATCTTTATCCTTATCCCGCCCCGAATAACTTGCTCCGCCCGCGTGTCCCCTCCCGAGCCAGTCGCGGCACCTCGCTCGGAAGCAAATTCACGTGGCACTCGCGATTTCGTCGAGCGTAGACTGCGCCCACGGAGAAGACGATTCGTCGGAGCAACGTCGGGCCGACGTCGATCAGACAATGCTTCGACACCGAGCGAGGAGCCATTTCTCGCTGGGTGAGAAATCAAAGTCGTTTCGACGTCGAAATGATGACGAGTGACAAGTCAGCTGGCTACCTGCGTGCATTTATGCAAAATATATAAATGTGTTGATACGTGCGCAAATTCACGTGGGATTCCTAGGCCGGTACTCATAGTCGGATCTTATATTCAAGACCGTCTTAAGCCAACGAAATGTTCCGTATCGGCATCTTTAGATAAATTCGAGACGTTCTTGAATACAAGATCCGACTATGAATACCGGCCATAGATCTTGCATTCAAGACCGTCGTGAATTTATCCAAGGACGCCGCATGGAACATTTCGTTGGCTACGGAGCACCTAAGATGATCTTGAGACGACTATGAATACAGGCCCTAGTGTACATTGCGGCTACATTGCAATACGTTGCAATATTGTGGCAATGTTGCTGCGATGTAACTGCAAGTTTCGCGCCCAGCGAGAAATGACTCGTCGACTCGACGAATCATTTCTCACCGGGTGCTGCATGGGAAATAGTTGTCCCCAGCGAGAACCGACGCGTCGTTCACGACGCCAGTGATCATTTCTCATCGGGCCGCGGTTATTTAAACAGCGCCAACAATGCACAATTAATCATAATTATCCGTACCGCTCATCGTTTCACGGGGCGACAAGTTTAGAATCGTACTTTTCGCCCTTTCTCGCAGAATCGTCATTTCACTTTTCGTCTCGTTACCTCGAGACAACATGGCGGAGGAGAGGGAGGGAGGGCGTGGAAACGCGAATATTCCTACCGATTGCGCGCTCGCTCGATTAGCATTATACGGAATTCGTCGAACAAGTGAGCTGCGAGTAATTGCAGCTGCGAACGAGACTAACCTTGCGAAACGAGTGGAATTGATCGGCTCACAATCACGGATGCGGCTTTCGCAAATCTTTCGCTGTTACGCGGCGCCAACTGAATTCACGTATAAGAAAGGCTTGTAGCGCGGCGACTGAACGCGGACTCTGATTAGTGGCGACATCTTCGCGCCGAGTGTTGAGTTACTTCGTTCATGGTTCAATGTGTTCTGAAGATCAATCCTCCGTGGTCGGTAAAATGTAACGGGCTTTTGCTTGTTAATTAGCATTATACGTTGCAGAACAGTTTAAAGGGACTCGTTATACATATGTATGTATACATATTTAGCTCCAGTCGTTTTAGTTACCTCGAGAGACTATCACACAAATTTAACGTATCGCATGTACGGCAAGATGGGTTTGTTCTAATGCCTCCTTTATTTTTCAAATAAACAAACCTGCATGCAGTTTTATTAGTTCGCTTTTTCTCGCATGTACATGCGTGAAACGAGACGATGCTGTAGCGTTGCCTTTTATCCGCGCATTCAACATTATACATACATGTCTGTTCTTTTCAGCTGAACTGACTAAAAAGAACAGACACATTTTCATACACGGCGTACGCGGGAAACTTTTGGCGGAATGGATTAGCGAGGTTAAAACTGCGGCCGGTATTCTTAGTCAGATCTTATGTTCAAGAATGTCTTAGATATTTCGTAGCCAATTAAATGTTCCATACAGCGTATTTAGATAAATTCAAGATGGTCTTGAATATAAGATCTGGCTACAAATACCGGTCTATAATCAAAGTCGTTCTGTAAAGTTCTGTGTCCACGATGCTTGGTCTAAACCGTGGACGTAGGAAATACAAAGATGCGTATACATATTTAATACAAGAGTAAATTGCCGTTATTATTTTAAGGCAACGGATCTACACTCTTCGAGCTACAAGATGTAGATTCGTTGCTTGAATCAAAAAGTTTCCGACTCACCGTCTGATGCGCAGCAGCGGAGTTGTATATCTGCCACGTAGTAGTTGATTCTGTAACACAAAATATATAATTCATTTTAAAACAACGCTCAGCAAAACCAATATTGCAAAATATAATCTTCAAACGTATCGGACTTTTTATTCAAGAGAAGAAAAAGATATGAAAAAAATTACATCGCGAAAGATCTTCTGCAAAAGATCTTCACGGGACAATAAACTTTTATAAAATTCAAGTTTTTCTTGTTTTCTAATTATTATTACAAAATTCCAGTGAAATAAAACGACTGAATAATAAATTGGGAAACAGATTAATTGTACACAAAATAAAAAAATGATGCGCGAAAATGAAGTTAACGCGAGAATAAATGCATAAATAATTGTACTCACGAAAAAGTTGCTCCGCTGTCGCCCGATGCCTCCCGGGCCGCCACCTCCTCTCAGATTCCTCCATTTCACACTGGCACAACACTGCACTCGCGAAAGAGGAGCTACTTACAATCGGCACGACACGGCACTCCCGGTGTTAATCGACGTGGACTTTACTGAAACGAGAACGAGAGAGCGAGAGACGCAATTGCGCGCGAGAATACGAGACGGCGTCGCGCGAAATGATACGATCAGCGTCGATGGACGTGTCATTTCTCACTGAGCGGAAACGTTCTGGCGGGAAGGACTCGCGGACGTACGCGAAGCTAACTTCAGGCGCGTCGCGAAAAAGGGAATCGAATGCGTGTGCCGTTCGACGGGGCGATTTCGCGCGAACGTTCCTTCTTGCCGCGCATCACGCGTGGGAAACTCGGGTATCACTGCACGCGCGAGGAGATGAGAATGAAAACTGAAGAGCTCGGTGTACTCGGGGCGCGCGAGGATACGACCGCGCCGTAGCGACGCGACGCCGACCGCGCGAGACATTTCGGCCGGGATTTCACAGATCTACGCGTCCCGGTGGATTACCGACGCGTCAAGTCGAATCTACGTCGCGCGATTGTTATACCGGACAATGGAGCGAACTTACCGCGATTGTGCGTACCGCGAGACGCGACGACCAACGCACGAGACCGATCCGCTGCGTGTCCACGGGCTCCTCGAATGGATCAACATGGCGTCGGTTCCCGGCGGTCACTGCGCGGCGCTACAACGGCGGTGCTACGCGAGTCAAGTCAACGACGCGACGTGTCACGAACAAACGCGTTCACTCGGGAAACACGCACTTCGACGACGCAACCGACACCTTCGCGGCTCTCCTCGCGATTGAGAAATGTTTCTAACTCGCGTACGAGACGATCGCGTGCGTAGCAGATGATCGAGATTGTTGGAAATAATCGCGTTACGAAAAGCGACGCGAAAACACACGGAATGTCCGTCGCGCTCGACTGCTCCGCGCCGAATGATTCGACACAATAGATTGTTTTCGACCGAGGTGTTTACGAGACGCTACGTCATTTCTCGGAACCGACGCTCGGTCTACGGCGCGCGGCAAAACAAGGTCATGCCGCACGTACGATCATTCACGCGGCGACAGTCGCAGAGTTGTTTATGCCCGTGCCGCTCCGCATACCGTATTTTTTCTCGATACGCGTTCGCGACGAGTACGGAAGGAAACCGCGATTTCTCCCTGCGAATAATCAGTGATATCATCGCTGTGTCTAACAAAACGCGAAATAATACACGAAATATTGAATCGAGTGCTTTAACATTTATCAGTGATTTATTAATGCCACTACTTTTCGGTAATCGGACTCTGTGACAATCGGACAAAGTGCAAATCGGAGACAGTGGCATTCGGATACAGTGACCGTCGTCTTTACAAAAGTGAGTGTAAATTCGCGAGTGTGTCGGAGATCGGCATCGAGCGCCATTTGAACGGGCAATTTTAATACGAGTTTAAATCCTCGAAGAAAAGCGGGCCAGAAACTGGCTGGCAAATTTCATTCGTTTTCGATCAATTTTGAAAACACGAACGAGGGATTTTTGTCGCTTCCCTCGACTCTTACTTGACTCACGCGTGTTTCCAACGGCGCATGTGCGAAATATAACTGCACCGCCGGTGCAGCACTCGACGTGCGTCCGCATGCATCAGTAGCGGATCCGGATTGCCGCTCGCCGACGCGAGAATTGAGGTTATGTGAGGCACCGTTAACGTTTATGTGCGCTTAAAGCACACAATTGAGATTGTAAAAGAGGAAATATTTTCTTACAACCATTCGTGACTTATTTGCGTGCAAAGGGTAGGAGCTTTCACGCGATTTTGAATACGGTGATAATATTTTCAACATGGAAGTAGCTCCAATGGGTAACTTGCCGTAAGTATATAAAATATATGTTACTTTCATCTTCTGTAATTTCATACTAAAATGGGACATATCTTATTTTGGAAGGAACAAAAGTGTCCATCAATTTTATTTCAATATTTTTCTGCTAATGTCGTTTTTCTCACACAATCCACAAATGGTCTTTTCGATGATTTGTCTGTCGGTCATGTGACAAAAGCAATAATAGTTGAGTAATGATAATTTACGAAAAGTTGCAGCAAGGATTTGTGGTCTATCATATCCGGCACGACGTGTTGTTGCGCTAAAGAGACCGTCGAGGAAGAGATAAAGAATGCCACTGCTTTGCTCAAAGAGGGCCTTCAGTTTTTCAAGCCGTATACAGATGCGTCGTTGCAAAGTATTTCTAAAAGAAATCCGCCCCCTCTACAGCAAATGTTCGATTTGATTAGTAAACTCGCTCCGCTCCTTGTAAGTACAGTGTTTTGCGCTTGCGCATACAACTTGTTTTACAAGATTTACACTTGTAACTTGCATCACGTGTTTGATTTTTGCAAGAATTTGGACGCCACGATTACCTGGGATCTAGTGTGCAACTTTGTGTCGTACGAGTACAGAAATTGCGCGGAGACCTTTGCGTCGCAGCTCTCCGATCTCACTTCTATAAGAGCATTAATCGACGATATTTGGAATTTTTACTACTCTGAGAGAGTGACGTTGATAAAATGCCTCAAGCTCATGATTGAGTATAAAGATAACGAGAGACACCCTCATCACAAGGAATTTGCCAAATTTTTTAACGAGATCCTCATGGGAAATTTGCTTGAATCCATACGAAAGCAGATAGAAGCGCTCAAGTTCGTAAATCCTCCTACGCGGTCGCAGTTCTGTACGGAAGATCACTTACATCGATTATATAATAGCACATTAATAGAGATGCGCGAGCTGCTTCACGTACTGACTGTGATTGTACACGATATACATATTCCTAGTGGCGAATTTGCCAAGTTTTATGGCAGTATTGGGGTAAGACTCGCACTTGACAACCTTACGTATTCCTCGGGACACTAAAGAGTTTTACTCAAATAGCAAACATCTTTTTAGGGTGAACCCAGACGATTAGTCAGTACAAAAAGTCACGAGGACAAGGAAGATATCGCTAAAAAGATTGAAGAGATACAGTACAGTCAAATAGCATTGTTGCTTGTATCTCTGGATGTAGATAAACAGTTAGTTGATATAATTACCTTGCACAATTAAAATTTTTTTTTTATTATAGAAGAAAGTCCCCTATTAAGAGATGGGATTCTAATATGGGATAGCGGAGTTTCTATTAAATTAATAAGCATCGTCAATTAATTCCACCATGTGAAGTTATTGCCCTTGCGAGAGAAATCTGCTTAGTGGAAGATTGATTGTTAGATCGTGTAATAGTTGCGAAAAAAGATTTGTGATTGAATTTGAGTGTTGAAAACCTGCTATCTCATATCAGAAATCTATCTCATAATAGAGGACTTTCTTCTGATAATTTCAATTGTGTACGCGTTTTATTGTGTCTCTTTTTAGCACTGGTATAGAAGACTGGATAAATGGTGTCAGAGGCAGTATGCAAGAAGTCTTTGAACACAAATGTGTTCGTGAAAGTTTACAACAGGACGGGCCGTTACTCCTGTCATGGATGCTGGCAAATTATGCGATTGATCCGGAAAACATAGACACGTTAAATCGTTTCAAACCATTTGGCATCAAAGCCATACAGCTTGACGTATTTCAGTATCTGCGAGATTTGATAAACTGCGAAATGTATCAAGAAGAGACCCATTATGCTGAAGTTGTGCGAAGCAGCGTTTATAATCTTCTCTCGTTAGTGTGCATCTTTGTCGAGGAAGACCGGTTAAGTGCTTTAAACGGCATTTTTGATGCCCTGGCTGCCGTAGTCAAGTTTCCAGAATGCGCAGCTAGATTCTGGGATGAACCGTACGACAGTATATGGTCGATTTATAAAGTTGCCAAAGAATTGTGTCCTTACAAATTCGAACCCTTAACCAGTATAGCTATTGGTCTGGCATCCACAACAATTACAAGTGCCAAGAAGGTAAATTGAGGTTTTTTACTGAAATATTTCTTTTATTTATAAAAGAACTAAGGTGAATATCAAAAAAATTTTTACGACAAAGACGAGATAATTATTTCAGAAAGTTATGAAAAATTTCAATGGAAACGAATATTTTTATTTCATCTTCCACTTGAGTAAATCTACCAAATCTTAAAATAACGTATGCGTTTTGCACATTGAATTTGTTTCATCAAATATTTAATATTTATTGTGTTACATAAAATCAATTAATCTTTATTTAGATCGCATCGGAGTTGGACAATCTACAATCAGCGACCATAGAAGTTCCTCGTCAAAGAGATTGTAACAAGCCGTTACGGCCATACGAAGCAGATTGCGTGATTCAAAAGAATTCGTTTACTATACCCAGCGACTGTGCATACGAGAATATTACCGGGTTGTCCAGCGAGAAAGAAGTAGTCTTGTTTCGCGTAAAGGCGAGTTACTGGGACGCTTTGCATCATAAAATAGAGCTGTTATTTTCTCAAGCGAGCGGCGGAATTGCGAATATCAGCGCCGTAAAGACTGACTTACCGGAGAATGTTTATCAGGGCCTGAAATTGTTGGAAGCTTTATTAGCTAAGGATATCGAGATACCATTGAACATGGTTGCTCCCACGGAATTATGTTTTGAAATTATTAATCGGTTCTCATACCCGGTACTACCGTCAAACTTGTACAGAATCGTTGCCGTCTGCATTAGCATTTCATCGAAATTGGTCTTGAGGTATCCCGAGGACATTCTCTCGCGCATGCGGTCCGGTGTTTATCCAAAATTTAACAATTGGTATCAAAAGCCGTTAGACTTTGCGGAAGCGATTTCCTTCGACAGTGGTCTCGTTGGATCGTGGCTCTCGGGTATAGAAACCATCGAACACACGTATCCCGTTCTGCGCGCGTTTCTGGACACCTTGTACAATTATCTAATCACCAAGCATAGCAAAGAAGCCATGTACACCATCGAAATACCGGGTATGGTGTTCCTGCTACAAGCTGTGTTACCTAAGCTAGACTCGTGGTATTTCGAATCGAACGCAGAAAGAATCGACTTATGGCTGAAGAGTATGTTTTGCATCCATCGGGCTCTGGATTCAACGTTACCTAAAAACGATATTCGCAACGAGTTGCAACTCGTCGTGGTGTACAGCTTGCTCTACTTGGAGCCGCGTCACGCGCTGCTGAAGCTACTTCGGACGGGCGAGCGCACACTGCACAATAAAATGATCGCGGAGACAAATTGGATCAGTGGAAAAGGATTCAAGACTATCAAGAGTGTAGAACTAGCTCTGACGATAGTCAATCGACTGTTGATGTTCAGAAAATCCCTGGATCTAGAGTTGAGCGACAGGTCGCCCCTCGAGATCGCTTTGTATTCCTCTCCGAGAGTGCCCAATGGGCTCCTTATAGTACCAACTATTGTTAATTATCTGTACGTTTGGTTCAGCCCTTCTTTACAAAAAATGGCTGTAATGCTGCTGAAAAAATTCGCGGAGGAATTCTCTATGTCTCTGCTCGTTTGCATGGGAATGGATGGAACATCTATACGGGAAACCTTCGCGTTTCGATTAACTCTGCCAACGTGCGCGATTGAAGTCAAAGTCGCTATCTTGGAATTGGTCGCCGTGTGTCTAGAGAAACAACCTGGCCTGACGGAGGCCCTTTTCAATATTATGCACCAAGCGGAACGCAAGAGGATCTTCCCACGTCCAGCCGACGAGTTTCTTACCGAGGGTTGCAGTCAATTCTTGGACTCGTATTTAGAACGAATGTACAAGGAGGACGACATTGTATGCGATAAATTGTACGACAGCACGATGACAGTGTTGCGCGCCATGTGGTATCACAGAAATGAGATTCTTGTCAATTTCTTCCGGAAACGAGAGAAATTCTGGAGTCACCTGTTCGCGCCGCTTTTTAAAACCTTAGCGGCGGGCGCGAAAGGTTATTCGCAATTGTTAGATGTAATTACATTAGAATTGTACAAAAGTCCATTGTTAGAGAATAATTTCTCGAAAAATCTAAAGGAGCTGTTGAACAAGTCCAAGGATCATTGGAAAAAATTAGCCATGTACGTTCTCGATGTTCCCGCGAACGGCGAGGGCGAGAATAAGGAGCCGCGCGCGAAGCAAGACAGACTCATAGAACCGTTGTACGAGATTAATTTAGAGTCCTGGTACCACTTCATCGTTATGCTCACTGACGAACGAACGGCGAAAAATTACCCGATTAACGTAACGCAGGCGCATCTCCTGACTCAGTTGGCCTTGGATTCTCTGTTGGACCGAGTGAAGGAACCGAATGATTCCAGCAGCGGCAAGATCCCGATGTTACTGGCTTCCTTATCCCTGAGGTGCATCACTTCCTGGAAACAGATGTGCGTCGGTGACTCGAGGATTTTCAAGACCAGACTCTCGCAACTCACGCAGGAGATAGCGCAGACTTATCGCGGCTTTGGAAAAGCCCTACGGCAGACAATGATCTCGTTGCTACTCGGATGCGTGCAGCTGGTGAAGAGTACCCTGGCCGAGGACTCGGCCAGCCTGGAATACCTCTTGGCGCACTCTTGCACCATTGCTATTTGCGAGCTAGAGGAATTGAAGGAGGCTGCCCTTCAACTGGAACGCCGAAAGCAGCAGTTGTCCGTCGATCTCAAGACTGACGAGAAGGGCGCGCGAAAGAAGGCCGACTGTCGCAGCGCGGAGACGCTCCGTGGTATACGAGAGAGTCTACCGGCGACGTTAGCTATCAGCATGGTGACGCAACTGTTACGATCGTACGTCGAACGGAATGTGAATTTCAAGCATCGTCTGCGGGCCAGCTGCGTGCAGCTTCGTCAGATGATACCCGAACTGATGGTGTGCGTCGGGTGTACACTCCAGAAGTACCCGTATGTCAAGTTCAGCGCGGCGGCACTGAGCTTGCTGGGCGTTATATCGCGTTCCCCGTACTGCCCGTATCCCATCAACGACAACGACATCACGAAGCTCTGGCTCAGCTTGATTCCACCGGCGGACATCGCCAACAGCATGCTCGACTCGCTGTACGACGACTCGGCGAACGGTCAGTGGCGTTGCCAGGATTGGTGGCCTTTGTACACGCTGGGCCTGGAATTTCTGATAGGCCTGGTCAGCAGCGAGACGCGCATGATGTTTGTCAACCACGTAGTCGTCTTCCTGAACTCTCACGAGCACCAGCTGATGGTGGTGTCCACGTTATTGAGGCACACCGCCGACCTGCTGGCCGCTGATCTTATACAATCACTGGTCGCTCTTATACACGCTATAGCCACGCAAACGTACGTTTGGAACGCGATTCAGCCGAGCGTTCGCGAGACTCTTATAAAGTGCATGTACCTGACGTACGATAGTACGGTGAACCTGTTGCTGAGGCCGCGAATACTCAAGTTTATCATCGACGGTATCAGCGTGGAGAGCGCCGAGGAGCTCGAGTCCTGCGACAACCGACTGCCTAGCGGCGAGCTGAAGCTGCTGGTGAACAAGCTGATCGTCATAAACACAACCTGCGCGCTAAGCTTCGTTCACTTCTCGCCGAAACTGAATACTCTGGTAGACACGATATACACCCAGGATTACTGGTACACGCCGATGGCCGAGATGAACTTTGGGCCTCCGCAGATGAGCATGAGCTCCGGTCCGCAGCTCACTTACGGCACGATCATCAGCTCGACGCAACTGTTCACCCAGGCTCTTCACTCTCGCTCGCAGCCCGTTGCCGTCTCGTTGCCCGCGTCTTCGGCGCCGCATTCTGGACGCGAGGATAAAACGGATTCCGCGAAGAAGGAGTGGGAACGCGCCGCGCCAGAAAATCTCCGACGTATGCACACGACCAAGGACCTACGACGAATCATTCACGCGGCCTCCGCTTCGACCTCCAGAACGTCATCCAACATTGGCGGAGAATTCCTAGAATACGTCAGCGGTCTAGACGTCACCGTGTCGTTACTCAGCAGCCCTAGACTCGTGCGTCGACCCTACGATCCACTGATATGCGAGAATACCATTCTCTCGAGAGCAACCGCTCTGGCGACCGGTAGACACGTGACGAAGAGTAGCGGCAGCGGGGTCGCCGGCGCTCCGGGTAACGGCAGCCCAATCATAGCGAGAAATCACAGATTCAGCGATCCATGGTTCGAGTCGATGGACGAGAACAATACACGATTGTCGCTGGAAATCAATCTTGTCCTGATACTGTCGCAGGCTCTCGAAGGGGTGAAGAGCCCCAGGCTTACCTTGCGAGATCGTCAGCTCATAGCACGGGAGACCGCCACCGAGCTAGGAGTCTTCTTCGATTTTCTCGAGCACCGCGGCACTCCCGATATCTGGCAGGTGAAGGGCTCCCTGATAGACGCGGATACGCGAAGCTCCAGGACGATTCAGGACACGAGTGATCCGACGCAAACGAATTTACCGGCGAGACTCCAGAAGGATAGTACTATTGACAAAGCACCGGTGTGCTCGTCCGACCACGAAAATTCCTCAATGGAGATGAGCCAAACTGAAACAAAAGAGATAAGACTTGACGACAGTGTCCTTACTACTGGTGTTTTCAAAACGAACGTCAGCAGCGTGCAGTTCTTGCCGTTAATGGGAAAATTACTTAAGACCGTTGTCGAGTCGTTGGACTCGGCGCAATTTCGATGAACAGTATTTTTATTTAAAACGTAGTTCTCGATACACACAATTCATCGTTCTAGAATGGAAATTAGAACCGCATTCTAGAGCGATGAACGTAAGTGACAAGCACATTAAGAACTACGTTTTCGTTACGTTAAAAGCTGCCATCTTTTTGACATAAACGTAAGTAAATAATTGGACATAATTGAGTATGTATGATACAACTGAGTCCGTTCATGCATGTTACTTGGTAAAAGGTTAAAAAAATTTGTTAATTACTCGATAATTTAACTTTCCTTTCGTATATTGCGTATTACAATGCAAGTCCTATATATAGGAATGCTGAAACATTAACGAGGAGTAAAGAGGCCAACAGGAATCTAAAGAATGTAATATTCAACGTTTCTAATTTAGTCTGTACTTTTTTTATATCAACACTATTTATAAATGATTAAACATAATGTAATATCCAGTAAATTAGAATTATTTCGTGTTTCTTAAATAGTTTGCTAGGAAAAACGTGAAAATACAAACTATATGATTTTATACACAGCCAACTACTTAACGAGGGAAACGAATTACTAGGATCGCTGTTTACGCGCATCCCTTACATTGAAATAACGCTGACCATGCTTCTATTGACTTTCATTTTAACTTTGTCATGCCAACATTTATCAGATTCCACTTTGTCGCACTGATAAATCATCCCGCGAAATTCCATACCATACTTTTTACAAATTTATTGCCAATCCGAAGACAAACGTCCTCCGGACAAATTGAATCGTAATGAATTACTTATTACTTGTGTAATACAATGATTTATCCATGAAAATTTACAATCGCAGTGTGTAATACTAGTTATTCCACTTCTCTGTTGAATACTGGTGCTCTCCAACGAGTCTCTTTCAAAATGCGTCTTTCCTTTTGTATGGAATATCTCTATGTTTAAAACAGTGAGAGAGAGTGAGAGAGAGAAGAGAGAGAGAGAGAGAAATAGAGAAAGTTGACAGTGACCCTCGCTCGTTTTTGCCGCGTTTATTTTCAATTTGTATCTTTAATCTTACATAGAATATATGCTCTAATCTTTCACGTAAAAGCGTGTCCTTCCGTTTTCCGCATCACTATACAACATCGCGCACTCGCGCGAAGGACGATTAATAATTATATTATACGCGCGATACAGTATAAAAATATAATCCTTGATATTAACGAATATTATGCGTTACGACAATAGCGATGGTGCGAGTGCCGAGTTAGGCACACCGCGCAAGGACATCCGTCGCCTTTCAGGATGAACACCTGAAGGTCGGGTTAGACGCTAAGGGGGTAGATGAGGTAAAATGTTCTCGGGCGAGGGCGTGTCGTGAGAATCATTGTTTCTGGATGATGTTACTCGTTGATGGTAGTAGTTGTTTGAGACAGCAGTGGCGGCGACGGTAGCAGCAGACGCGGTGGAACTAGTGGTAACTGTATTCGTCGAGCCGAGAGCTGTGACCATTGCTGTAGACGTCGTAGCGGTGGTGGTATTTATAGTTATCGTTGTGATGACTGAAGAGGTAGGTTGACTTCGGGACACTATACCACTCCACGCTAGGGGGTTCGCGCAACCCGATTCGGACGAGGAACAGTCCGGATGGCGAGTCGACGGCGAACAATACGTCGGTGTGGTCAAAGCGCTGGAATTGCATATCGACGAGGACACGGTAGTCGCGGCCGACGTTACCAAGGGCGGTGGTGGCGGAGGCGGTGGCGGCGGCGGTGGCGTCGGCCCGTTAGCATCGGCCAGTGGATCAACCGCGTTACCGTCCCAAGCATCCGTCGATTTGGACTCGTCATTGTTGGTCACGCTGGTGCTCGATCTCTGCCGCTTGGCATCGCCATACAACAAACAATGAACGTTCGGCGAACTGCTGCGATCTCGCACTCCCTCTTGCTCCTCGAGAAATCGGTCCATATAGTCCCTGCTTGCGATTTAATAGTACTGTCATTCACGCTTGCAGTAATTGTGTTAACGAAAGCATTGCAAAGTGTGTTAGTCGAGTATGTTATTGTCGAGTGTCGAGTTAGATTTCATTATTTTTTTATGGTCTAGGTATTTCAAAAGGTGTTGTCGTGTTGTAAAGTTATGCAGGAGTTGCGATAGAGAAGATACTCACGTGATACCGGGGTGCAGAGCATATTTTTTCTTCTCTAATCGTGCTTTGTACGTAAATATGTCATGCCGCTCCGTTTTCTTCCACAGGTAATAAAATTGTACTAACTCTCCGACCGATCTCGTTCTCACCTAAAAAGAAGAAAATTTCGCTATAAAGCTTATCGAATCGCAACATCGCAAAGGATGTCGTATTATTATAATTGTACGGTACGATTAAAATTATGCATTTCGATCGTAAAAGAGTTATTCCGCAACAGCGTTTTTTATTGTACCGTAAAATGGTATAGCGCTTTTTGTACGGTTGCGAAAAACATTAGGCAACGTTGTTAGCAACGCAGTTTGTATCTCTGCATTTTGAACAAGTCGGAACCACAAGAATTATTCTATCCTTAGTACACACTTCTTACAAAGACTTTGAATCTTTAATAATTGAAGGTTTAATCTTGTGTGTGTATGTGCGCGCGTGTGATATACCTTATTTTTCTGTATAAGATGAAAATCCTTGCCGTAATTGCGCAATCCAGATTCAAAATTGTGACACTCCTCCTCTGACCAAAGGCTCACTGCGTCCGTGGGAGGAAGTACGTTCATTCGACGCCTTCGTAATGCCTCCTCGAGATTGTAACCGCACTGCAGCAGAAGATAGAGAGCCTGCTCGTCGTCTCTGATATGCGAGCCGGCCGGCAACGAACCGCCCTTGACCGCTGGGAGTTGCGCGCGCTCTAGAAACTCTTCCGTATCCTCCTCGGATATATGGCTGGGGTCCCACAACATTTTGTCCTCGTTTTCGTAGGGCAGCGCATCGTCGTAGCGACACAAGCCTTCCGGTATCGCCGCCTGATAATCGGTGCCGACCATGATTGTCTTCTTCCACTCCTCCTCGTCGGGGCTGTAGTCGCAGTCGTCCTCCTCTTCCTCGCTCTGCGGCCTCGAAACACTCCGCAACAACCTCGAACTGCCACTGCCTATTCCCGCACTGACTATCCTATCTTCCGGGCCATCGATCGCACCGCTGGCGCTACCTTCCTCGACAGCGCTGTCTGTAGCACCGGCTCCCCCTAAATTAACTATACCGTCGCACGCAACAGCATTAGCACTTCCCGTCGTGGGTGACGCTCTAGTTTTCTTGCCGCTTACGCCTCGCGCGCCCGAGCATTCCTCGGTCTCGGCGTCCTCGTCGTCGTCCTCGTCGTCGTCGAGCCTGCGTTTCCTGCTGTCCCTGCCGGGCGCGGCGATGCCGCTATTGCCCTTGGCGGTCGATCCCGACAACGACGACGTCTTGTCCTTGCCCTTCACCAGCATCTCCGTGTAGAACTGCTTGAGGTCCGGCTCGTTGCTGGTCGCGTCCGCCTCGTCGTCGTCGTCGTCGTCGTCCGCGTCGTTGTCACCCTTGTCCGAGTAACGCTCCTCCGCCTCGGCATCGCCGCTCCCGGACGGCAGCAGCATGTGATCGGAACTGTTTGAGTTCTCCGTCGAGGGATCACCGTATCCGTACATGGCGAGGAGATCTTTGAGCGGCATATCACCTTCCTTGCTCAAAAGAGACAGAAATGGATCATTATTACACGGAGCTTCGGGACCCTGGGGGACTAAGCAATGGAATCTCACTACGAGAACGCACTTTGAGTCCAAAGTGTTGCGGAAACTTATCATAATTGTAATTATTTATGGGCTCGACTTTTTCATTTCTCAGAGGCTTGATCCTAGAATAGTCGGGATCAGAATGTCGTTACAAAAAATGTGGCAGATACATATACGTATGTACTGTAAGCGACGAATACGAATATGCCGTGGGAACGTACCTTCTGCAGGTTGGACAACTCGTTGTGCGAATCCTCGCTACCTTCTAGGGCCTCTTCCTCGTCCAGCGTTCGTTCGTCGTCAAAATCATTTACCATCATTTCCGTCGCAGAGCCCATATCATAATCTCGATCTGCCCTGCAAGAGGAGAGAAAGGCGCGCCGTTATACAAGCGTGCCCGTAGCCCGCCAGACTCGCAATCTCCCGCGGTACGACAAGACAAGACTCCCTACGGCTAGTCGCTACGCAAGTGGATGGATGCGCACTTACATGATTCTACAATCCCTATTCACCGAGACGGGGACATAACACACAAACGGTATATACACACATCAACGCGTGGACGCAGCACCGGGATGTATCACCACGATTGCACCACGACAAGCCCCGCTCGCTCGCTCTCTCTCTCTCTCCCCAGGTAGTCCTGCGTTGTATGCGCGATCCCTCCGACGCGGGGACAGAGGTCGGCGGTGGCGATGGGCTTTTACGCTCGGCTTAAACGTCCGAAGGCGGGATAAAGAGACAAGATTCACATTCGGGACGCCCGCAGAGGGGCGGCGGGAGGGGGGGAGGGGGAGGGAGAAGGGTATAACCTCAACCTGACGTGACACTCGTGTCACAGCTGTACTCACGACACCGGGCGTCACAGTCTCGTCGCAGCGGCAACCGACATTTCGCGCAACGTCGCGGGACAGCGTCTCTCGTCGATGCCTCTCGCCGTGCTAACGGGCACTCGCGGGGGGGAGGACCCTACGCGGGCCGTCCAGCCCCGGGCGACAACAAACCGACGTCTCGCGGCTCGGACATACGAGACCGTCAGAGGCGCGTAAGGCACATTTCCGTCGGGCGGGAAGCGCGCGACTCGCGACGCCGCGAGAGCTCTCTCACACAACAGCCGAGATCAGCCGAAAGACGCGCACTCCATTATTTGTATTCGTCGCACTCGTTTCCCCGCCGAGCTCCGTGTGTTCGGAAAATGGACGCGAGACAGAGAGCCCGTGAGAGCGTCGTCGTCGCCCCTCTCGAGAGTGCGTCCGGATACTCGCTCGTTCTCCCTCGCTCCCGAGATGTGTGAGAGAGAGAGACGGAGCGCCCGCGTGCGTAATTACAGAAACGCAACGCGATTGGTCCGCGAGCGTGATCAAAGGCTAGATGGGGGGGGGAGGCGTCTCTTGGGGAGATATCCGTGAACAACGCCAACGATTTGGAGACGAGAACGTTTCGAGAGTTTCTCTGCGAACGTAATAGAAGTTTCGCTAGTCTCGAAGGATGCGCGTTCTCGCTATCGAGGGTGGCTTTGACCAAACCTTCGGTCGACTTAAAGCCCGTATCAGACTACGGATTGGGATTGGGATTAGATTGAAATTTAACCAATCACAG